GTCGGACTTGTTGGGTTGCAGGGAGGGCTACAAACATGAAGAGGATTAAATTATATTCCTTGAATCAAGTGCCCTTCGTCGGGATCAAAGCACTTCATTCCCCTTGAATGGGACGAAGTGGGTATTTCGTGTAAGCGTTGTGGAAGGCAGTTTGTATGGCTGGCAACTTCGGGTCAGAGGAAGAGTTTCCCGTCACCTCCGAGAGGTACTGTTAGAGAACAATAATACGAAAAGAATTTTAACTGAACTTTATTGACTTAAGCTTTCAGTGACGTCATTCATATGTAAAAGTGTCCATAGACGCTTTTACGTGATAAATGACGTCACTGGTTAGCTCACGGTTGGCACCTTCGGTATAGTCTATCAGGCCAGCAACTTGGAAGTCTGGTCTTAGACCAGGCAGCTGGGGGCGGTGGCCCCCGTGATTGATTACAAGTAACATCCAGTTACGTAGTTAAATGAGAAAATGTTGTACCACAGGTGTTAGATATTCTAACACCTTTGATAAAACATATTATCAATGAACCATGTTTATTTTGTCACGAGAGTCCCAACGTCATTCTCCTCACGTTTCATGTACAGGTACATCTAAGGAACTTAAAGTTCAGGAAGACACACTGGCAGAGTACCTCGGCTACGTGTTAAAGGTGTACTGGTAACAAAGCAATTAAAGGTATTATATATCTATATTAAAAATGTATCTCAGCACACCTCTAATATTTGCCTGCTTAGCGAGTCCTAGCTTAGCCTTCCTCGCTCTATGAACAGTTTCTCCAGGTAAGGTGTAGTGCCCCGAAGAAATTTTACGAGGCTCAGACGAGGAAAAGAATACGCAAACCAACGTAGTACAACTTACACTTAGGTGTAAGGGCGTAAGTTGCTCGCTTTGTTGAAGAAAGCGTTTGGCCTTTACCTCAGGGAAGATTGAAACTAATGTTGCCAGTGTATAAGGCTGTGGGATGTCTCTGGAAGTGGTGCATTACGCACAATAGCTGAAAAAGTAACGTTGCTGATTTTTTTTTTTCAGACAATTTTGTTTTTATGTAACTAAAGCCATGAATACACATACAACTTCACAGTTTAAAAAATTAATTACATGAAAAATGATGAAATTTTAAAATATAATGAAAGTGGACATGCAAGAAGCGTAAGTAAATGATGATGGAGGAGCGGTGATGGTAATGTTGGCTAGCCTCGCACCAGGTACCAGAGGATCCTACAGGAGTCCACGGGAAGGTCACGCCGCACTCCGCTCCTCCGTTTTCTAACACTTGTAATAAAAGGATAACTTATGTAATTCTTAAAAGACCCGGGCCGGCGAATCAAGTTAACTGAGATGCTCCCTTCCCTTCAGTGGGAGGTTTGCAGACACACTAAAGAGTCTGCGGTGACGTGACTCGAGCAACTGTGCTCACCTTTGTTCAATCAATCACTGTGTTTTTATTCACTAGCCGTCGAATATGATAACGCTGTGTGTGACAAACATTGACTGTTACCTGTAGTCGCTTCCGGGGATCACCGCCCCCTCAGCCCGGTCCCAGACCAGGCCTGATTGTTGGCTGCTGTTGCAGCGCTACTTGGGCTAGGCTTGTCAGTTCCTTGCCTGGCTAACCAGGCTGTTCCTGCTGGCGGCCCGGTTTTTCCCATATCCATCGCAAGATCTTAATAAATTTTGGGATCACGTACGTTGATACAGTATTCTCTTATTGTGCCCCCGGTGCCCCTGCCTATTCGGCACGACATATATATATATATATATATATATAATATATTATATATATATATATATATATATATATATAATATATATATGCAAGGAATTCGCGAGAGCATGCGAAATATACACAAACACTGATCTCTGGCTGAGGAGACTCGAACCTACGAACTGTAAGCCTTCTCCCTGAAAGCTGGCTGCCTTGGATCAACGTGTAGCTCATGCTACACGCCAAGGTATTGGTCCAGTGTGGGTAGATTGGTAAAGCACTGCGTACCTTGTCCTAAGGTTCGTAGGTTCGAGTCTCCTTCAGCCAGAGATCAGTGTTTGTGTATATTTCGCATGCTCTCGCGAATTCCTTGCATTGTTCAAATCTCTAGTAAGGCTGATGCATGCAGGGGATGAGATGAAAAGCTGTAAGCCTTCTCCCTGAAAGCTGGCTGCCTTGGATCAAACGTGTACTGGTCCAGTGTGGGTAGATTGGTAAAGCACTGCGTACCTTGTCCTAAGGTTCGTAGGTTCGAGTCTCCTTCAGCCAGAGATCAGTGTTTATATATATATATATATATATATATATATATATATATATATATATATATATATATATATATGTGTGTCGTGCCGAATAGGCAGAACTTGCGATCTTGGCTTAAATAGCAAAGCTCATCTTGCCATATAGGACAAGTGAAAATTTGTGTATGCAATAATTTCGCCAAAATCATTCTGAACCTAACGAAAAAAATATATTTCACTGTGTTTGTTTAGTATTAAATTATTGTAAACAAATCTAAAAGATATTTAGTTGGGTTAGGCTAAAATAAATTGTTCTTGTTATAATAAGGTTAGGTAAGTTTTCTAAGATTCTTTTGGAGCAAAATTAAAATTTTTTACATTAACATTAATGAAAAAAATATATCTTTAAACGTATAAGAGAAATTTTTAGAAAGGACTTAATTTTAAATGAGTTCTTGCTAATTGACCAGTTTTACATATTCAGCACGACATATATATTATATATAATATGCCGAATAGGTAAACTTCGTCAATTAGCAAGAACTCGTTTAAAATTAAGTCCTTTCTAAATTTCTCTTGTTATTCGTTTAAAGATATATTTTTTTCATTTATGTTAGTGTAAAAATTAATAATTTTGTACCAAAAGAATCTTAGAAAATTTACCTAACCTTATTATAACAAGCGCAATTTATAAGCGCAATTTAATTTAGCCTAATCCAACTAAATATATTATTGGTAAGTTTACAATAATTTAATAATAAACAAACACAATGAAATATATTTTTTCGTTAGGTTCAGAATGATTTTTGCGAAATTATTGCATACACAAATTTTCGCTTGCCTTATTCGGCAAGAAGAGCGTTGCTACTTAAGCCAAAAATCACAAGTTCTACCTATTCGGCACGACATATACACAGTAATGAAAGTGTGTATGGTGGGTATACGTGTAGAAGGTGTGCAGGTCGTTCACGGCTGACCTACATAGTCACCGTCTTCCCTGGGGACCCGCCCAGCCTAGGAGTGGCCAGCACACTGTATAGGTGTGTAGAAGAAAAAGTAAGCCTTTCTTTTAATGTACAAGCAGTCACTGTCTCCAGTATAGAGGTGGTTGCCGCCTTCAAGCTTTCTGAACGTTCCTTGCAAGTAGAAAATATTAGTGTCGGTATTTTTGGTTTCCATATTGGCTGTTGACAGTTTCCTCCGTCAGGCAACTGGAGCTTAACTCTCAGAAAACGAATGTATATTTACAGAAGCAAAACTTTACTGTGTGATTCTGCCAAGCCAAGTTTGTGACCAACAACTACTACTACTATTTATTTCTACAAGTGCATGTACAATATATACAGGCCTATCTATCTGGAGTCTACCTGAAAAACCGCTTGCTGTGCAGAGCATTTCGGGCACTTCCTGTTAATTTTGTCACAGGATGCGACCCACAACAGTCGACTAATGCCCAGGTACCTATTTTACTGATGGGTGAACAGGAACAGCAGGTGTCTTGAGGAAACACGTCATAATGTTTCCAGCCGTACCGGGGATCGAATCACGGACCTCAGTGTGTGAGCTGAGTGTGCTACCAATCGAGCATTGTGAAGGAACTGAAACGAACGTTATCTTTCTTAGTATCTTTATAGAATATTAAATATTGCCTTATAAAATGTACTAAACTTTTATTTATGTTTAATTTAATTACTTTTGCATTTCATTAATTTGGATTTGATGTTGATAAGTGGAAGGTAATCGCGTATACGAGGGGAGAACAGCTGAAGTTCAGAAACGCATGCCAAGTATGGGTGTCTTAGACCTGCCTAGCACGGGCCAGTAGACCTGATGCAGTGCTTCTTCTTATGTTCTTTTATATGGGCCAGTAGGCCTGTTGCAATGTTCCTCCATTCCAATATTTACTTCAAGCCTCTGGACATGTAAACGGCAATTACACCATCAAGACAGAAGCGGTCACGTCTTTGGTCACTCCTTTGGTGGTAGGGGCGGTGACAACCTTCAAAGGCGTGGTCTCCTCCAAGAAAGGTGTGGTCGTCCCCTTTTCCATGGCGGTGGGATGTGGTTCTGTACGACACTGCAGGCAAGGAGACACGAATGGTGATAATTGGAACCTTAATGGCTACGTTTCACCCACGCAGTGTGATTTATGAAGCCACAATAACCCTTGCCTGTTTGTAACTTGATAAAGTCCACTGCGGGGGGGGGGGGAGCTAAACGTTGTCAGTGAAGGTTCCATGCAACCGCATTTCTCTCTCCTCACCATCGTGCTGGTACCTCAAAACACAGCATACCAATGGCCCAATAGTCGTGTTGCCATCACCACCTAAAGTCTGCGGGTCAAGACACGAGAGTATCGCTACGCAACACAAAGCAAGACACCAATAAAACCTTAAAACATTATTACTAATGGTGATAGGATGATCATAATCTTTTTACTAATCTACTCACACCCACCTACTCTCAAAATTTACACAAAAATAGTTATGAGGATATACGATTTTACCTTGATAAACAAGCGATAGTAGGGAAGCTCCCGAAACCCATCTAAGGTATTAAGGCCAGTGTTGTGGCATAGTGTTGGTGGTAGACCGCAGACTAAGATGGTACACCAGAGAGGACTGCTAAATACATATATACATTAAGAATCATTACTCTTACCACTAATTTAGAGCTGGAATTCTTCTCACAACCATAAGACTTTCCACACTATTCTGTGTCTACGTGTTCAATGAATCCTCGGGTAGGTAATAGTGAGATTAAAATGCTAGAAGAGTAACATGGACTTTGTATTTTTTCACAACGTATGCACAACTGTGTACTACATCTATATCACACACATTACTGTAATAATCTTATAAATACAGATTTGATTTGTGGTGAGATTGGGTATTATCGATTAATACAATAACATTTTAATGACAAGGGCACAGTAGGGTAGTCCAGGGTGACAATCAAATTCACCCTGGGGATACTTGCAAGACGAGAGATAGCAGGGTGGTCCATGGTGACAGTCATCTTCCCCGTGGAGTACTTGCATGATGAAGGTAGTACAGGGTGGTCTCACCCCTGGAGTACTTGCAGAACCCACCTGAACGTTTGCTGGTCCTCTCCTCCCTCTTCTATATAAGGGTGTAACACAGCACGGATGTCCAGGGAGCGGACAGACATCCACCGAGTGGTGTGAGAGTAGTCCAAGTCTGGAATAAATCGAGACACTGATGTAGCATAGGAAAACTATAACTGACTACATTTCACTCACAAAGGAGCTAAAAATGTTACCTGCGTTAAGGAAACGTAGTCATCTATAAAGTTTCCATAGTGCATTAAATCATCTCTTATTTATTCCATTTTGTCCGTATTCACATACATGTCAACTTGCAGTGGTCTGACTCTGCAACTTAGCCTCATAGAGAACGTGGTTTTTTTTTTTTTTTTTTTTTTATAACAGTTTAAGAAAGTGGAAAAAAGCGACATTGCCACTACGGCAGAACATTGATTTTCTGACGCATGAGCTTAACTCTGTTTACACAGCGATTCTGGTTTCTATTACATCAGAACATACATCTCAGTAAGGCAATTTTTCATTTATTTGTGTAGTGATAATTGGTTAAATGTGTTGTTAGGTAAGACACATATGCAACAGTTAGGTATCTTTATTATGAAACGTTTCGCCTACACAGTAGGCTTCTTCAGTCAAGTACATTATTATTATAATCAAAAAGAAGCGCTAAGCCACAAGGACTATACAGCTCAGTCAAGTACAGAAAAGTTGATAGAAGCAGAAGATACTTTTCTGTACTTGACTGAAGAAGCCTACTGTGTAGGCGAAACGTTTCATAATAAAGATACCTAACTCTTGCATATGTGTCTTACCTAACAACCTGTCGGTATTTTATACCATTTTAATGGTTAATTAAATGTGGTTAATTTACGTTAGCCTAACCTAATATAACGTTTGTTGAGGAATCAGTTTAAATTTAGATTTGTAGTAAAATAAGAGGAGGGCAGATGTAGCTCTGACTTGCTGCTGTCTCTAGTCTGAAGACTAGGTTATGTTTAGGTTATTATTGGAAAAATAGACACAAATGCAGATAAAGAATCTCATTATACTGCATTGTGTCTGTTTTTTTTTATTGTCAGTATTGTAACTGTATATTATTTATCTCCGTAGATGATTGTTACTGATAGTTTAGTCTCTGGTGGTGGAGTCGTGCTCTTCAGATACTCTCTGCCATGATTACTGGTTCATAAATTGAGAGGTCTTGCAAGCAAGGCAGACGATAGCAGTGGGTTCGTTGATGTGGTATACCCGCTGTGAGCCACAACAATACTTGTATCTAGTGTGATGAATGGTTTGAAAAACCGACAAGTTGAAGATTGAGACACTTATGCAGCATATGGGAATCTTTATTCAGGAAACGTTTCGCCACACAGTGGCTTTTTCAGTCCAATACAAAGAGGAAGGCATAAGGAGAGGAGGAGAATGAGGTAATCAGTCCCTCAACCTGGAGTCGATGTGTTCAGTCCATCAATCTTGTAGAATGTACAGCATATGGCCGTAGACGTGGCTTATATACTGTAGAGATGTGAGGTGAAGCAGGCGGAGGCGGGGTCATAGTGGTACCATCCACTAGTCGAAGTAGGTCTTCGTCCAAAGGTTGAACAAGTGTTGAAGAATTCTTTGTAACAAGATCCCATGATGCTGCAGTGTCTGACAGTTGTGATGAATGGTTTGAAAAACCGACAAGTTGAAGATTGAGACACTTATGCAGCATATGGGAATCTTTATTCAGGAAACGTTTCGCCACACAGTGGCTTTTCAGTCCAATACAAAGAGGAAGGCATAAGGAGAGGAGGAGAATGAGGTAATCAGTCCTCAACCTGGAGTCGATGTGTTCAGTCCATCAATCTTGTAGAATGTACAGCATATGGCCGTAGACGTGGCTTATATACTGTAGAGATGTGAGGTGAAGCAGGCGGAGGCGGGGTCATAGTGGTACCATCCACTAGTCGAAGTAGGTCTTCGTCCAAAGGTTGAACAAGTGTTGAAGAATTCTTTGTAACAAGATCCCATGATGCTGCAGTGTCTGACAGTTGTGATGAATGGTTTGAAAAACCGAAAAGTTGAAGATTGAGACACTTATGCAGCATATGGGAATCTTTATTCAGGAAACGTTTCGCCACACAGTGGCTTTTTCAGTCCAATACAAAGAGGAAGGCATAAGGAGAGGAGGAGAATGAGGTAATCAGTCCCTCAACCTGGAGTCGATGTGTTCAGTCCATCTGACAGTTCATCACAACTGTCAGACACTGCAGCATCATGGGATCTTGTTACAAAGAATTCTTCAACACTTGTTCAACCTTTGGACGAAGACCTACTTCGACTAGTGGATGGTACCACTATGACCCCGCCTCCGCCTGCTTCACCTCACATCTCTACAGTATATAAGCCACGTCTACGGCCATATGCTGTACATTCTACAAGATTGATGGACTGAACACATCGACTCCAGGTTGAGGGACTGATTACCTCATTCTCCTCCTCTCCTTATGCCTTCCTCTTTGTATTGGACTGAAAAAGCCACTGTGTGGCGAAACGTTTCCTGAATAAAGATTCCCATATGCTGCATAAGTGTCTCAATCTTCAACTTGTATCTAGTCCAATATGATGTCGGCTGCTCCACCATGACATACACAATCATTTCAAAGACTAGAATTATATATATTGTATAGAATAATTTCTATAATCAGGTCAGGAGGCCAGATTCCCAGTCTTGGGCACTAAAAGGGTGGCGCTGTAGCTTACAATTTCCCGAGGCTATTTTTCATCTTGTTTAGGTCGTAGTTACGAACTATATGTTTTAGTTCCTACACCTCAGTCATCCCCTTCGGGTCGTCTTGAGTCTTTAGTTGCCGCCTGTGCCTCTTCCCCCAACCGGCTCCTCTTTGCATCTTATTCAGCTTTTATGTTTTCTACATCCGGTTCTCCTCTGTTAAGCGGGTTGTAATACGAGGTCAGGAACAGAAAATCATCCCTTAAAATCGATTAAGAATAGGCTGACAGAGATCATCTAAGAAAGAGAAGGGCTTGTATATTCCCAGACCACAAAGAAAAACCTTCGATACAGCATTGCCACGAAGATTAGTATTAAACTAACCACTAGTTTTTGTGAGAGACGATACAAGATTAGCAAACTTAACCAGTGGAGTCCCCAAGACTTGACTTTATACCTCTGGACAAGCACAGAGCAAGTACATACGATAATGACGAATAAAATACTCTGGGACACAGACAAGATGAATAAACTAGTCAGTATGAGAGAGACCAGGACTGTGTGTTCAGCAAAAGTGGATGCATCAGCAGTGAACTGCTACCTTATTCTACATTTCAGCTAGCTTTTATTCATATCTATGTTTCCCTGTCATATTCTGTCACACAAGATGAGTTTCGTACATCAATCAACCTGTCAGTCTGAGCTAGGAAACTTCAGTAAGGCGACGAGGATGTAATAAAGAGAGGAGGGAGCCACAGAGGAAAGGCTAATTGAAACACATATTGAACCAAGACGTTAGAAAGTATTTAGTCATCGTTGAATCATGGTACTCAATGAAGTTAAACAGGATAGTTCAAGAGCTGGAGGTCTACATCTGCAAACTCATTTATGTATACATACACGGGTACTCAAACATCCAGTTGAAGATAGCACTGGCAGTGCCTATGTTGCACTGTGTGTTCTGGTTGACTGGCCATTAGCAGGAGGCTTGGCTGGGACCGGAATTGTCTATAGGTCAAAAAAAAAAAAAAAATAGGTGCTCTCTCGTGAAGGCTTATCCATGTAAGTGAGCACATCTTCAGTCACCCGTATGACCTCTGAATCGCCCCACCTTCACCTTCTCAACTCCTTTCTCTCGTGTTTTACTCATTATCACTACCCTTCACTATTTCTTTCCTACCTCAACTACTCTGCGCTCAAGGGACGGGGGCGATAATTCTGCATTCTAACAGTTCATTGATGTATTTACTGGTCACGATATACACCTGCATTGTCAGGTGTTAACACCTGACAATGCAGGTCCACCTGACAGTGCAGGACTGATAAGGTGTTAACACCTGACAATGCAGGTCCAAGTCGCTACCGACTTATGCCGGTAGCGACTTGGACCTGCCTTGCCTGGGCCAGTAGGCCTGCTGCAGTGTTCCACCTTTCTTATGTTTTTATGGTTTAAGTGTGTGGCGGGGGCAGGTGATGGTTCCCACGGTGCAGGCAAGTACTACACCCACACACTAGTTAAGAGCCTCCAGCAACAACTGTGTAGCTACGGCCTCCACCTCCCTCACGATCTCATCCACAACATAATCACTGTCCATTACTGAATGTCTCCCATTACCACGCATCACAGTTATCAATCATATTACCTCCCACATAAAAATACAACATGTGAGATAGGAGGAATATATATCATTGAGACACAAAACGGGCCATGAAAACATTTGAAAACTGCTACATTCGCAGATACTAAACTACCACCAGTTCGGACGAAATAATATTCGCACCAAACTTTGCATCAAGAGATGTGGTAGTACTTGACACAGTAGGAAAGAGACAACACATACAATACGATACAGAGCAGCACCGAACTCAGCTACAAAACAATATTTGTATAATAACTCTGCTAAAAGGCTTCAAATTTTAGCAGAGATAAGAATAAAATTAGTTTCATAAACAACCTGACGGAGACATTGAAGGAGTAGGTGTTTTGTGAAAGATTGTTGCGTGTACACTACTGTTAAAATAAATTAGTAGAATTCAAAAAATAGAAGACAACAGAATCTGATGATTGTATCTACGTACAAAGTATCGTCGTCAGTGACAGAGGAATTCACTGATCAGATAAAAAAAAATATGGGAAACTACTTGCAAACCAAACTATACCACGGGCGGGGATAGAACCCGCGGTCAGAGAGTCTCAAAACTTCAGCCTAAAATCTTGTACACTACCAAATATTTCCTTTCCAAATTTGAAGTGAAAGATAAAAGAACAGTAGCCTGGTCCATGTCCGGGCTCCTCGAGTAGAAAGACTCTCGAAACTCATCAAAGGTAAAGGTATCGGGGGAAAACTGTTAGGTAGTATTCTAGAACACAAGACGCATAACACAAAACTCCAAAGACTAACAAATTTGCTACGAGCCAACGT